CTAAACTAATTCTCAAGCTTTCTGAAGAATTTGAAATTATGTTTTCCACTTAAACTGTTTGCTCGTTACAGAACTTTTGCTTTCTTGTGAGTAAATATGAAACATGTCAGCTTTCGATCCCACTAACGAACTACTTAGACTCTAATTTGCTAAAGGTATTGTTAGTTCGGTTCGAACGGTTTTTGTTCCTTCTTTTGAGTAATTTTTGCTCTCCATGTAAAGTTATCATGAACAGGCCGACAATCTGCTAGTGATATATGTGAATGAGTGTTCTATTGCTCTGACCGGCAAGGCATGTTGCGCTACAATCAATCACAATGAGAAGATCACGATTTATGGAAATTATAATCACGTTTGAGGAGTCTCGTTATAGTGCATTTGAAAGGTTTAGGTCTCATTTGCACATTTAGCAAAGCAACACTGTTGTATAAATTCCATTTTCAACTGGTCAAAAACGAAATAAATGGATAATTAATCCAGACGGCATTGCATGTTTACCACGTTGTTGAGTCCAACACATGATGAAATTCATGTCACAGTGTTTAATGTTTGTTTTCGCTTTCTGTTGAAATAATCTCGCCTTGAATTAAAAGTTTCTTTTTATCCCACATAGAATTGATATCAATTTACTGAGATATTTAAAATGCTTTCACTTTTGTTGGAAGATTTTGTCGATAAATTTCGAAGTCCCAATTGTCAGACAAACTAAGTAAACTATGAAGCTTACATTTTCAACAACGTTTACCGTTTCATGGTTTTGGCGCCACCAGATCCGCAGAATTTGGCTTGCAAAACTGCCTTATTTCCTTATACAGATAGCTCTTCCTTTCTAAATCCAGGCCTGCTGGATTAATGATAGGAGGAAGTGTATAAGGTGGAAGTTTTGTTGGATCTCTGAGCAAATCAAACTCCACTTCTTCAGAATCAACATAGCGCTTACAGAAGACTNCTCGTGGGACACCTACCTGTGCGAGATTACCTGGATAAATCTTCCGATAAAACATCTCAGTCTGTAAATCATCGACTTCATCATCATTAGTGTACAGGCCATGGATATGTGTTACCTTCAGGGAGCACAATCCATCACCATCACCAGGTGCCTCACTTGGGAATTCAAGGGACACTCGTAGATAGGGTGCATCACATCTTGACTGCTGGGCCCTGATCACATTTGCAGGTAGAGATTCATTTGCCTCAACCTTTTTGTCGAAAAGGTTAACAGCGGCAGGTATCACTGTTTTTGCTGTTACCCAACCCAATTTGACCTGGCCTAGTACAGGGTAACGATAAACAGCCCAACCAATACTAATAATGTCCCTTAGCGAGCTCATGGACAAAGAGGTTCTTCCATCATCTATCAGCCACTTTGCTGTGTTCAGCACATGTTCATTTCTGGCATTGCTCAAATACTCCAGCTGCTTTGACATTTGTAGCTTTTGTAGCAATGAGTGAAATTGCCCATGTGTGGTTATGTTAGTTTCCATGGACTCTATTTGACTCACCATGACTGCTTGAGTTACATCATTTTGGGGTTTTACCAGAGATTGCGAGTGCAGGCATCTCAGATTTTCTTCAAAAGATCTGAACTGAAGTGTTGAAATGTACTCTTCTAAGTCATCAGTGGTGTTGCCACCAACAATCATAGAAAGGCTTCTGGAAAGAGGTCTATCACCTGTCTCATCTTCGACCCTTCGACGTTTTGATCTTTGACTGGCAGGGTCTTCATCCTAGAAATTGTCAAAGGATAGCCATCAAGATGTTTGAATCTTAAATAAGATAAACTAGTCATTAAAAGAACTCTTAACTGTACTCTTTATATAATTAAAATTCCAAAATAAAGTAAGTGTACTAAAAGCATCCAGGCTTGAGTGTTGATCGATATGTTCAATCAATACCCTTGATCGACCATCAATCGACCCTCAATCAACACTTGATCGATACTTCATCAACACCTTGGTTGACACTCAATCACTTGGTCAACAGTCAGCTGAGAGTCTACTAATTTTTGCAGACACCCCATCAAGTGTCAATTGACACACGAGTCGATCAACACTTGACTGATGGTCAATCATGTGGCGATCAAGACGTTGATCAAGTGTCATCTGAGTATTGATTGAGGTGTCCATGGAGTGTCAATCGAGATGTCAAACAAGTGTTGATTGAGAGTTGATAGAGGGTATCAATTGACACTTGACCACAGATGGTTGAGGCAAATAGGGGAGATTATGACATTCACTCAGTGAAAGCCACAGCCATCAGTTTTCATAGGACATGCATCTCTAAACATGTTTTTTAAACACATGAAGGCTACTAACATACAGTGCAAATTAAAAATAAATTCAGGAACTGGTCACCCAAAATAACTACAAAGCTAAGCTAGTTGGGTTACCACATTCATTAATTAAAAATGAAAGAAGTAGTAAGAAAGATATTTAGTGGAATGTTTAAAACTTAATTGGTAGAAAAGATTACACAACAAATATATGAATAATTTACATCCAGACATAGGAATAATATAAATAAATAAACAAATGAATAAATTGATAAATAAGCAACAGAATGGGAACATGAAAATAGCAAAATATACTACATATTATTGAAATTAATTACATGTAGAAATAAATAAAATGTGAGGTGAGTTATGTTTCAAATAAGTTTGAAGTTAGGATCTTAAATCTCTAACCAGTTTCATTCCATAACTTAGGTCATTATATTGGATATCAGATATGCCATAATTTGTTTCGATTTTTTTGAGGACATAGTAGGTGGACCTAGTTGCAAAGCGAGTGTTAACATGCTTACCTGAGGTTTTGATAAAAAGTAAATCAAAGATCTTTGGTAATTTGCCAGTTTCAACTTGGTGCATAAATTAGAGAGTTTGAAGTTTGATATGATCTTGAAGGTTAAGTTGAGCAAACAAAGGAGTAGTATGTGCATCAAATTAGAAAAAGTAATCAATCGTAGTGCTTTCTTTTGCATTCTTTGAAGTGGGTTGGCATTATGATCATAGGTGTATACAACCTATGATCATAACAACTATAAGGAAAAAGTAAGAATCATAGCATATAATTGAACTAAAATTTCGATATAGACAAAATGCCTAATCGTACAAAGTAAACCAAACAAGAAACTTGTTGGATTTTGTTCTTTCCAATTGAGATGACAGTCTATGAGAATTCCTAGTTACTTAGCACTTTTAATGTTAATTAATTAATATATAAATTAATTAATTGTTAGTTAACTGTTATAGCCAATTAAATTTGACAATGTATTTACATTTGACTTGTTGCTTTCCTGGCTCGGTGGCACAAAGCCTCCACCACTAGCAACAGTTGAATGTTGTGAATCTGGTTCCCTTTCATGGTCTCCGGACTGGACACTATGGATAGAACCTTGTGATGTTGGGTCCTGCAGCCCACTTGGAGCTGCTTCCTGGCTGTTCTGATCAGTTTCTGACCTCTGGCTTTGAGAATCTGCTCTCTGTTTCAAAAGAGGCAGGATAAATGTGCTTTCTAACTTACTTACCACTAGTTTTGAAGTCTTCCTAACACTTCCATCATCAACATTGCAAAGGGCCATCATTACTGCACTTGCATGTAAACCAATAATGTCAAATCCGTGTGCCAAGTACAGGCGCAATGCAGGTTTGTTTTTGACTCCACCTTCAAAAGTAAGCCATATAACAGTACTAGCCCCATGCAGATGGTTTTTTTGCTCCGTTGAACACTTCCTCTATCTCACAAGAGTTGCAAATATCTCCTAGACACATTGAGTGTTGGTCAGCCCTCCTGGTACCATAACTCAGTTCCCAGTACAGTTTCCTGGTGGTTCTTTTCATTTCAGCCTTAATTGGATGTTTGCCGAGAGGTTTCAAATGTACAGGATCATAAGTCGTCTTCTTAAGTAACACCACACCAGCTGGGCTACCTGATCCCTTTTCAAAGGCCACAATAATCAACTTGTCGGCCTGTTTTCCAGCATTGCAAAATTCGTCAACTGCTTGGTGGTAAGCGTTGACATCAAGCCAGCTTCTTGCTTCCTCCTTGTCCAAAATGGATTTCAAGGACTGAATGGAGCATCGTGTCAGGAGGGCAGCACTGTCATCAAAAGCCTGAAATAGAAAAATGTTTGTCATTTCAAGTAATCCTGGAGAAAGAAACTTAACTGAAAAATTTTCAAATTGTGCTAGAAATAGTTCTAAGAAATTGTTCAAGCTTGAAGGAAGTTCCAAACTATGCAATTCAAAGAAATGAAAGGGCATACAATGCTACATTCATTTCATGAGAGTTATTATAAATAGTGCATATAGCACTTATAAACTTATGGCCATCAATGAAATACAAATAGTATAAAAACATTTTGAAGTTACAACAAAAAAAATACAGAATTTAGATAGGATTAAAACAAGCAAATCAAAATTTATTACATCAAAATTACATTGTAAAAAAATGAGGTAAAATGAAGACTGCAGACTACGGACTTTTTAAGTATATATGTCATATTTCCATTATTGCGTGCTGACTATAAACAGGGTTATCCAGGCTAATTGCAGTGAAAGTCTGCACTCTGGTCAGCCTGAACATCATTTCAGTTGACCTGAGTAATGCTCCAGTTAGCTTGTCTATGGATATAGCTCTCAATTATGAAAATGGTGACATGATTCAGTTAAAAAGTGTGTAGTCTGCATTTTACACTGACAGAAGTATTGCTTAAATCACGTGGAATAATTTTTTTTGTCACTTGTATGCTCAGAATTTTTCCCACTCGTCCAGATTATGTTGTATCAGGACTCTATTTAGTTTCACTGAGAAGTATCTTATTTTTCTTATTGCAGTGATGGTAATCTTCTTTTAGTGACTCGGAAAGAGGCTATCAACAAAGGTTGTGTTGTTCATGGATATCATGCCAGTTACCCAAGGGATGGTTTACTTCAATGAATTTCCAAATCTTGTTGAAAAATACTAATTTTAGTAGCATTAGAGCATTAAAGGTCAGTAGTTATACCGCATCTTAATTTTAGTATTTTTAGAATCTTGCTTGTTGATCAAGACTAGCATTATAGCACTTCCAATTCATTTGAAGTCTCACATGTTTACATATGTGACCCTATTTTGGAAAAAGTGGTTAAAGGTGAAAAGAGAAAAACGCGTTTATTCACATTTCAGACCAAAATGTGTTTAAACACCTTTTAAAACGGGCTAAAAAAACATTTAAACACGTTTACAAAATGTTTTAGTGCGTTTTTCCTTTGGCAAATGTTTTCTTTAAATGAGCGTTTAAACGTAATAATTTATTTAATAGTAAAGCTGTTATGACAGATTATTCAGCATTATCGTTCCCACGCCTTTTGAAATCATGGCATTATTAGAATTATTATGCCAAGCTGGTTTACTGGATGGTATGTAAAACTTATTTTTGCCATCATTCTCAGTCAAAGTGGAAACTTATTGTTTTCGTGAAAATACAAAATAATGATATGAACGCTCCTTAATATCGTACTAAAAATGTAATGTAAGTTATGGTCTATACAGTGAGCCAGATGCACGAGTCTTCAGCAACAATACACAATACACTTCACATTACCATTTCCGAGAAATCTACGCCAATGTCACTTAATCCAACTTATGAAACAAAAATTTTGTGTTGCTAATTTTGTCAAAAATATTTGCACGGAGGTAAAATCTGCTACAATTCTGCAACACGCAGGAACGAGTGTGTCTTTCATTTTGTGACATCACAGGGAACCTTTGTGCTTTAATTAGCCTGTTCATATTTATGGCATAAAACTAAATGATTTACCTGTGTGTTTGTGTCTCTTTGGTTGTCTTGTGAGGTATTTG